CACAGGTGACATAATTTCAAAACAAAGGCAGGTTTTTCAACAAAAAACAAGTCTCCCAAGTACCAATTCACTATTTTGTGGAAAAATACAGCAAGACTAATTATAAGAGTTCCATTCCAGTTTAGTCAGTAAGATACGTTGTTTGTTTTGTGTTTAGAAACAGGGTCTCACTCTGTCATCTGGGCTGGAGTGCAGTAGTGCAATCAGAGCTCACTGCAGCCTTGAACTCCTGGGCTCAAAGAATCCTCCCACCTCAGCCTCCCAAAGCACTGGGATTACAGGTGTGAGCCATCACAGTCTAGTAAGATACGTTTTGTTACTGAAATACAGCTAAAGTTCTGGATTTTAATCACCAAAATAACAGTACTTCTCGTTTACAATTGACCTTAAATAGAGGATACTAATATATATTCATTTTGTCATTTCTTTAACTCTCCAAAACTTAAATAATATAATTCTGAAAGTATTTGTGCCTTGTTCAATAAGTATGATTTCTTTTTATACAGGTCACAAAAGTTCAAGTAACTAAACCAGAATTCTTTATGAATTGCCTGTCTGCTGGGGTTCAATCTTAAGTCTGACTATATCAAAAGCAGCAGCTCAGAATTTATTTCACAAAATTAATCCCCAGAGTTACTGGGTAGCTTTTAAAGTATTTCACTGCTTATAATACAACTCACTAGAGAGTCTATACTAGTAACTCCTGACATCAAAATTATCTGGGGAGCTTTTTAAAAAATACATGGGATCCACAATCATTAACAACACTAAGAATCAAGAACGTCTGTATTTTTTTTAACATTCCCAGGTGATAATGCTATGCACCCTAGTGTGGGATACCCCAACCGACCATGAAGCCTATAGTTCTCAGCTTTTCAGGTGCAGTGGAATCACTTTTTGTTTTTTTTTAAAAACAAAAAGCAAATCAAAACAAAGAAAACAGATGTGCTTCAGTAGATTGAGAGTAGTGTGCAGGAACCAGCATTTTAAATAATCACTGCAGTTGGTCCAAAACAAGCCAGAAATACTGTAACACCTTTGTCAGACATCATATCATAACGAGTACATTCAGCAATTTAGGTGACATTGTCTGCAAGCCCTAATGAATCCTGCCCTAGGCAGTTTTAGCAAGTGTTTGAGGGCAACACTCAGCCTTTTTAAATAAAATATATTTATATTCCCAAATATTAGGTCAAAGTCAACTGAATTGTAAGACCATCATTCATTAAAGGAGGCAAACACTCTTTCCAACAATTTATACCTTTAAACAAACCAGATCTTAGCCCTCAACTTAAACCTAATGCTTTCTCTATCATTAGCCTGATATGTGATCAGAGGTAGTGATTCCAGCTTACCAAAAATGCATTGTGGATTATAAAACACAAACATTCATACATCTTTACAGGCTCTGTACAGTCCCTATGTAATAGAGATTGGAAAGCAGGTAGATATTAAATAATACTGTAAAACAGTAAATAATACACTCTTGATTTTAAACAATGAAACCTCCTAAGATTTCCCTCACATAATAAGTTTCTACATATAATATCCAGAAAAAAATTCTAGAAAACACTAAAGGTATCATGCTGCCTCTTTTGTGAAGCTATTTTCTAAGTTTTCATCATCCCTGTAATTATCTATAAAGTGGGTAGTTGGTGTACATCATTCCACTTCAAAATAATTTTTTTTTTCTTTTTTTTTTTATTGTTTTGGGAGACAGAGTCTCACTCTATTGCCAGGCTGGAGTGCAGTGGCTTGATCTTGGCTCACTGCAACCTCCACCTCCCAGGTTCAAGTGATTCTCTGGCTTCAGCCTCCCAAGTAGCTAGGATTACAGGTGCACACCACAACGCCCAGCTAGTTTTTGTATTTTTAGTAGAGACGGGTTTCCCCATGTTGGCCAGGATAGTCTCAACCTCCTGACCTCGTGATCTGCCCGCCTCGGCCTCCCAAAGTGCTGGGATTACAGCCGTGAGTCATAGCGCCTGCCCTCACTTCAAGGATTTTTTTTACAAGCACAGAAACTATCCAGTGTATGATAACTGTTACTATAATACTACACTATTATAAATATACAAGCTCTTTTGAGTGTGACAGCTCCACCACCTCCACCAAACTTTAGGAATAGATGTAATCTACTTTGAACCCAAAAGCTACAGAAGCAGTGACAATGATGCTAAGAAGCAGAGAGAGTACATGGTTAGTAGAATCTATCTGGCATCTTGCTCACCTGAACTATACTTAAAGTGCTGTTATTTTCTGTGCATGTACTTTGCCATTATGTTCTTCACAAAGGCTTACCTCTTTCCCATAAGCCACCATGCCCGGTCCACAAACCAAACTATTTTCATGTTCAACAGAAAGAAAGGTAGCAACAAGTTCCTTATTTTTGTTAATTCCTTGTTTCTTATAATAAAGAGTATCACTTCCTCTCACCAAAAAGCTATCGAGCTTCTGATGAAACTCAACTGTTCAAAAGGCTCACCTCTTTTCCAGAGGCAGGTGTGATTAAACAGTTGGCATTTGGTCTTAACTAAGCAATAAAAAGGTAATTACTAAAAATCAGCATTGTATTGCCATAAAGACAAGTCACTTCATAAAGTAAGAACCGGAGAGTTTTAAATCTATATTCATTAAGAAGCTAAAAAACTCATACTAATTTTTAACCACTTAAGAGTTTTGACTCACAATAATCAAATTATTTTCCAGTTTATAAGTGATTCAAGATAGAAATAATACATTTTAAACACAATTTGAAAAACTTAAATAAAAATATCGAAAACCAAAAGGCATGGAGACACAGTAATGCTGGAGTAAGAATTTCAACATTTGACATAATGGCATAAGGCACTACCTCAGCTTCAGTCTACACTTAAGTCATCTTAACCCAAATATGGGATAGGAGAATTAAACACACACACATAACTTTTCACGTCCTTTTGGCTGGTCTGGCAGTTAACTGCTTTTCTCTTTCAAACTCCTTTTCTCGTTGCTGCTCCCTTTCCAACTCTTCTTTTTGCCTCTTCTGCTGCAGTTTAAGTGCTCTTTTCTGCATTAAAAAAAATTTTTTAAACCAAGAGAGCAATCAGGGGTTACAGGTATGGCCTAATTTGAAAATAATAGTGCTCTGCTTTGAGGTAATTCATTCACACTAATAAATTTCATCTTGGACACGTAAATTTGGGATAATTTAAGGTCCCTTTGATTGAAAAATATTTGTTGCTCTAAGCTCTGATTAAATGAAAACTGCAGTACACATCCAGAGAATCTAAGCCTATCAGCCCAGCTATTAGTAATGAAGCTGAGAGTGCAGTTCAAAAAAAACGACATATTTTAGGCTGCACGCAGGGGCTCATGTTTGTAATCCCAGCACTTAGGGAGGTCGAGGCCAGAGAGCTGCCTGAGCTCAGGAGTTTAAGACCAGCCTTGGCAACATAGTAAGATCCTGTCTCTAACATTTCTTTAAAAATGACATTTTTAAAAAGAAAACAATGTACCATGAGTTAATTATGCTACTACATGTGAGAGTATGAAAGTCAAAAAATGAATACTGGCCGGGCATGGTGGCTCACGCCTGTGATCCCAGCACTTTTGAGAGGCCTAGGCGGGCGGATCACAAGATCAGGAGTTTGAGACCAACCTGGCCAACGTGGTGAAACCCTGTTTCTACTAAAATACAAAAATTAGCTGGGGGTGATGGCGGGTGCCTGTAATCCCAGCTACTTGGCAGGCTGAGGTAGGAGAATCACTTCAACCCAGGAGGCAGAGGTTGCAGTGAGCCAAGATTGCATAACTACACTCCAGCCTAGGCAGCAAGAGCAAAACTCGGTCTCAAAAAAAAAAAAAAAAAAAAAAGAATGCTGGAAAAAAAAAAAATTAAACCTCTACTTTTGTAAAGAATGTGAAAGAATTTTCAACTCACTTTTAACTTTGATGTTTTTTCATGAAGCATCAGCATCTCTTTTCTTATATTCACCAACTTGGCATGATAGTGTTTAGCCTCGGCAAACTTAACATGGAAGAATAAATGAAAAGTCAAGTTAAAATAGACTAAAATATCAAAATGAATAAAAATGACAATATATAAATGACAGTTCACGCTTTCTAAATTGGTCAAAATTTTTACAGCCTTATCTCCACATTTTAATTCCAAAATAAAGATTTTCTTATATCATTAGCAGGATTTTAAAGACATTTGATTTAATTCAGATTGACAAAGTGTTACTACCCATAAAATAGACATTTATATTAAGACGGGTATAGGCAATATTTTGCTTTAAAAACATATAATTCTAAAATTTCAGGTAAGACTATTTAATAATGCTATCAGTTTCATTTAAGAAAAGTAAAACATTCTCACTGCCTTTACAAGGGAGAGACTGAGCCAGAGTACATGAAACAGTTTAAGTGAAGAGTCTGCTCATAAGGAAAATTCAAGCTGTAGCCACCGAGCCCTGGACAGAGAAGACGGTGGACAATTTTAATCCTATTCCCTGGGCCCTTTAGTCAGTAAGCAGAATGATCTCTGTGAGGACACTTTCCTTCTTGAGGAGTCATAAGTACAGACTTTACAACTTAGCCAACTAGCATGATCTACAATTAAGTCTTACGTCAGGAGAAGATGGGAAGATGATGCAAGCCTAGAGACGTCAGAGAGGAGGAGAAAAGCACACTATTTTCAGACAAGGTTACAGAAAGAGAAGAAAAGAATGAAAAGTCAGTAGAGAGATTCACAGCCTTAATGAAGCTGCTAGTCATTGTCTTATTAGCTCAGAAGTTACAGTCCCTTTTTATATACCCTGGGCCTTCCAGTTTTCAGTTCCTGGGACTTCCAGTTTTCAGTTCATAGATGATAATCAAAACTACTCCTGACTCAGAGAAAAAAAAAAAATGAAGACTCCATCCTGCCCCTTCAGACTAAAACAACAGTATTACATCTGCTTGGTTAATTCATTCAACAAATATTCCTTCTGTTGCAACAGGATCTCAGTAGGGAACATAAAATAGGTCAGTGTAGCTAGCCTTGTCCACCTTCCTCACAAGAAACAAGAACTGCCAGGCAAACAACTCCATATTTACTTCCATGGCTCTGTCTAATGCCAGAGAATATGAACTTTGTTTTTGATTGTTATAAATGGAAAACATTAGTAAGCCATCTTTGTCAAAGCGAAGTCCACTTTTTTTTAGGTATGCACAAATGGCTATGGTCATGCAAACCCAGCTTTTTTTTTTTTTTTTAAATACAGATGGGGTCTTGCCGTGTTGGCCAGGTTGGTCTTAAACTCCTGGCCTCCCAAAGTGCTGGGATTACTGGCATAAGTCACCATGCCCAGCCCACAAACCAAACTATTTTTACTGTTCAATAGAAAAGAAAGGTAGCAACAAGTTCCTTATTTTTGTTAATTCCTTGTTTCTTACAATAAAGAGTATCACTTCCTCTCATCAAAAAGCTATAGAGCTTCTGATGAAATTCAACTGTTCAGCTATTTATATTGAAAGATATAACTGATCATTCTCAAAGTGTCTACCTCAGCCTATGGCATAAATTTATTATAGCATTATGAATATGCCATAATTAAATAAAATGATAATTTAAGAAACCATGTAATTGGTCAAGAGAAATACACTTTCCTTAAACAAACAAAAAAAAAGGTACCTCAAAGGTTCTTTACTTTCAGTTCCTTTTTTCTGTTGGTTTTGTTTTTCTTGAGACAGTGTCTCCCTCTATCACCCAGGCTGGAATACAGTGGCACGATCACAGCTCAACGTGGCCTCAACTTCCTGGGCTCAAGTGATCCTTCCACCTAAGATCCTGAAATAGCTGCGACTACAGGCATGTGCCACCACGCCCGGCTATTTTTTTTAATTATTTTTGTAGAGATGGGGTCTCACTATGTTGCCCAGGCTGGTCTTGAACTACTGGGCTCAAGCAATCCTCCTGCCTCAGCTTCCCAAAGCACTGGGATTACAGGCATGAGCCACTGTGCTTGGTCTCAGTTCTCTTTTCTAAGTCTTCAATTCTGAGCAAATCTATTCCAAATGCACAAGTAAGTTCAATTCCCTACTACAAATTCAACATTTGAAAGACAACAATTCAACAAAATAGACCTTCAATCAAGGTTTCTTATTAAAAAAGACAAATTCTAAACTTAAAGTCATTAAGTTACATCAACTAAATCATACTTACCAGAGCATTAATATCCAACATAGAATGACATTCTTTAAATTTGGAAATCTCTTGTTCCAGTGTGTCTAACAACACAACTTGGTTCTGTCTGAAACAAAAACACACAGCCAAGATAAACTCTACATATTTAAAACTGGTCCATTAAAAGGAATCACATTCATCTTGGTTAATGTAACAGTTAGAAATTAAGTAGGAAATGTATTAACTCTCCAAGGTTTATTTAATTTAGAATAATATTTTTCAAAATAATATTCTAAAGCCACATTCTGATAACTAAATGTGTCTTTTATTCTTCCTTCAATTTCTAATAACTCAAAATAATCCAATCATTTAAAAGTATTTTAATACTTATTTTTAACAACTCTCTATATTATTTCAAAAAAGAGTTTTTTATAGTATTTTGCCCAAGAAAGCCAATTTTGGTCTTAAATATTATATATCTTAAATATAATATTTAATTTTATATATCTTAAAATTGCAACATTCCCATAAAGGAAAAGAGGAATAATGACTTTTCAGATTACAGTAGAGAAAAATGCAGTATCAAAGGATAATAAGTCAAAAGGGATAATTAAGCAGCAAGATGAAAAAAGCATAGGACTAGAAATCATAGCTTTCCCTGGCCAACAGCCAGTTATATGATCTTAGAAATTCAGTTTATTTCTCTGGCCTGCATCTCCTCATTTACAAAGGAGATGGTCAGACCGGATAATTTCTAATGTTTCTCATTATAATTTTGATTCAAAACCCACTATGGAATAGAAGTCAACTTCCTTGATATTTCTTTCCACACCAATCAGTGTTAGGACCATAAGTATAAGTGACATTAAAAGGGTCACCTACCTGAATATTTTAAAGAATATTACAAAGAAAAATATATTATTCTCTAGATAGCACAGTTTTGTAAGCAAATCACATTTGTAAGCAAATGTGATTTGCTTATAAAACTGTGATTTGTGTATAAAACTGTGGTATCTAGAGAATAATGATAAAAAAAGAAACAGCAATGAAGAGATTGAGGGCAATTACAACATGTCTACCATCTAGCACTGAGTCTGGCATACCCCACAAGTCATAAATTTGTCTCTTGGCCAGACATGGTGGTTCATGCCTATAATCCCAGTACTTTGGGAGACCAAGGAGGAAGATTGCTTGAAGCCAGGAATTCAAGACCAGCACGGACAACAAAGCGAGACCCCATCTCCACAAAAACTAAAAAAAAAAAAAATTAGCTGGGTATGGTGGCACACACCAGTGGTCCAAACTACTGGGCACCTGAGGCAGAAGGATTGCTTGAGTTAGAGGTTGCAATGAATTATAATGACACCACTGCACTACAGGCTTTGTGACAGAGTGAGACCCCATCTCTACAAATAAAAATAAACAAATAAATTTGTCCCTTTAGCTTGGACTAGAAATCACAGAAAGTGAAATACAGAATGGATGAGAGGAAAACCCACCAAGTCAACCATCCAAGATAAGCAGGACAGCAAAAATAGGCGTTAGAACTAGAAAATAGAAAGAGGGGAAAAAAAAATCAATGAAACAAAAAGGTCTCACTGTGTTGCCCAGGCTGTTCTTGAACTGCTGGGGTCAAGCAATCCTCCTGCCTCGACTTCCCAAAGCGCTGGGATTACAGGCATGAGCCTCTATGCGAGGTCTCAGTTCCCAATCAAAATTCCAGCAAGTTATTATATAGATAACAACAAACTGTTTTAAAGTTCATACAAAAAGGCAAAGACATAGAAGAGCCAACACAATACTGAAGAACAAAATTGGAAGACTCACAGTACCCAATTTCAAGACTTACTATAAAGCTACAGAAATCTGGCCAGGCACAGTGCCTCACTCCTGTAATCCCAGCACTTTGGGAGCCTGAGACAGGTGATCACCTGAGGCAGGTGTTCAAGATCAGCCTGGCCAACAGGGTGAAACCCCATCTCTGCTAAAAACACAAAAATTAGCTGGGCATGGTGGCGCACATCTGTAATCCCAGCTACTTGGGAGGCTGGGGTGCAAGAATCACTTGAACCCAGGAGGTGGAGGCTGCAGTAAGCTGAGGTCATGCCACTGCATTCCAGCCTGGGCAACAGAATGAGACCTTGTCTCAAAACAATAACAACCAAAATAAGCTACAGAAATCAAGACAGCATAGTACTGGCAAAAGAACAGACATACACATCAATGGAAGAGAACAGAAAACCCTTAAACCTACACAAAAACAATCAACTTCTCTTTGACAAAGGTGCAAAGGCAATGCAGTGGAGAAAGGACAGTCTTTTCAACAAATGATGGCTGGGTACAGTGGCTCATGCCTGTAATCCCAGCACTTTAGGAGGCTAAGGCAGGAGGATCACTAGAGCCCAGGAATTCAAGACCAGCCAGGGCAACATGGTGAAATTCCATTTCTACAAAAAATATAAAAATTGGCCAGCCATGGTTCCGGCTACTTGGCAGGCTGAGGTGGGAGCCATCACTTGAGCCCAAGAAATCACGGCTGCAGTGAGCTCAGACTGCCACTGCACTCCAGCCTAGGCAACAGAGTGAGACCCCGTCTCAAACAACAGCAACAAATGGCACTGACGCAACTGGATATCCATGTGCAAAGAAACGAATCTATTAATAGACACAGACCTTACAGCCTCCATAAAAATTAACTCAAAATAGGCCAGGCACAGTGGCTCACGCCTATAATCCCAGCACTTTGGGAGGCCGAGGTGGGTGGATCACGAGGTCAAGGGATCGAGACCATCCTGGTCAACATGGTGAAACCCC